TCGGACCTGCCTCAAATCTAGGCCCCATATGCATTACACATGATACATACTACTGATGTTTTTGCAGCTTCTGCCTGCACTGCAATACTGACAACTGAGAGAGCTGCACTACCTACTTAATTACTTTCAGTAATCTGAAATTAGTTAGATCAAAGTATTTTTCTGAATCCAGTTGTGAATAGGATTTTCTTCTGCTGCCAAAAAACCACATGGTGGGGTTGTTAATTGTTTTATAATTGTCAGCTACCAGTCATGAACAGACAAAAATAGAAGATACGTTATGTGCTGTTATCCACAGTGAATGGAAGTTTGGATCCCTTGTGAGGGTACTAGGATGACAGTGCATCCAGTGTCTACTAGGATTCACAAATAAGTTAAGATGGGGCATTCAAATTTAAGTCAGATTTGTTCTATTATATACAGTAGTAAGCTCACAACCAATGCAAAGGTTACGTTCCAAGGATCACACCTGAAGCCAAAATCGTGTATAGTAAAAGCACTGGGTTCAATGGTGTTTGGGATTGTCAAAGTCTTTTTTCCTGGACACCCCCTTTCCACCCCCTTATATATTTTTTAAAAAACTGCCAGGCGCTTAAAGCTGAATGTGCACCAGTTAAATGTGTATGTGTTGTATCTTATTGTACCCAGGGGGTTTCTAAATCAAAATTTGAAATCAAGATTTGTGGTCCCAACACATTAGGACTGAAGTCTTAAGCATTTTTTACAAATACCAAGCCCTATATAATTTATTGAGACATCATTCTTACAAAGCATGCTTTGAACATGCAATACACCAATCTGCACACTGATACATAGAGAAAGGACACTGAAATATGTTTTCTGAAACTTTAGTGCATCACTACATTGGGGACTAAGGGGCAAAAAAACAAACTAAAACAAACTACTCATTCTGGATTCTGTGCTGCAGATTGTTTGTATAGATTTCTGAATGGCCCTTGACCCATTGGAACAATAACAAATGTCTGAATCCATTCATTGATATTGTTAACATGGCAAAGGTCTGTAATGGCTGGACATTGGAGACTCACTTGTGATAGATAGAGGGAGAGTAAGAAATAACAAGAATGAAGTACACAGGAGGATATTCTTCAAACAGAACAATTCAAGAAAAAGAAAGGGGGAAAGCTGACTACTGGGTTAAAAAAACCCCAAAAAATCCCATTGCTAGAGACTTTTAAATAACATGCTGTATAATTTATTACCAAGGGTGATAGTGTGCCTTAGGCAAAGTCCTCTGGAAGAAGTGGGGGATATATTGCTGCACTCAAAGAATAATCCTGGAGACAGCTTTCTGAAGTGCAATTCCTCCTCTTAATCCACTTTCATCTCTTGGAAGAGAATAGAAATCTGCAGCCATGTTATTCTGAGCTCTCCTAGAGAGGCCAGCAAGCTGAGGAGCAAGAGGATTATAACCAGGACCTTTAAAATGTTTGCACATATACCCACTAAACTAAGTGCATACACAGTAAGAATGTACACCAACCACAAAAGTTGACTCAGATACTGATTTGGTGCTTCAAGAAACAGCACTGCCTCAATCTATTGTGCTTTATAGTCTGCCCAATTCAGCATGAGGTCCAATTGAATCTCTCTCTCCCTCCCTCCCTCCATTCACTACTGAGAAATATATATATTTTAAGCAACACTTTCCCCCCTTTGGCAGAAGTAGCTAAAATTTGTAGCCATACTAATCCATCCAATTTGGATAAAACCAAAGTGGATATAGGCAGCCATTACAATTTAGGGGTCCATTCATTCTTCCCATTTACAATTGGGAAATAAATAAAATGGCTATAACTCCCCCCTCCCCCTTGACAGAATTGGAAGAAATTTGCATGCCATCCAGAGAAGTTAAAGCCTTCTGAATGACAGCCAAACTGGCAAAAATTGAATTGGGGAACAAGCTCAGGGGAAGGGGGTATTCCTGCACCATCCTATCTGGTTTGGTTCTCATTGTTGAAGAGGACTAAAAGCTGAAAGAAAGTGAACAGAAGAACTTCATAGCCATTCAACACCTCTGGTCTGATGTCTAGGAAAACAACTTACTCTATGATCTGAAACCCTTCATGCATTTACTAGAGCTAAGCATGTTTATTCTATGAAGCTGCAGTTTATCCCACAGCTTTTCTGCTTTCAAACTTAATCTATTGCCATTATTTTGGCAACTGTTCAGTTCAGGGAAATAAGAGTTGGCTACCTACACCCCACCCACTATATATTAATTTAGAATTAATCATCTTTAATTCCCTCCCCCCATGTGAGTACCAATAATGTCACAAATTACAAGATGTTTTGGATTCAAAGTATTTGGTGGACAGCATTTAGTTTAATTTGACAGTTTCTTCATCACAATCTATATATGATCTGTTTGTTTTAAAGATTCCCTAGGGACCACTTCTTTTTGGCAGTCAGTGGATAGCTTTGCCCTTTAATCTGAGCTCCCTGGTAATAGTAAGGAACACATATAACTGATTTCCAAAGGTTGCTTCCTGACCTACAATTTTATGTTTTCTTGAGTATTTAACAGCTTCAGCTGATTCTGAGGGAGAGAGCCAGATGGGACTTTCATGCTGAAGTATTAAACAGGCAATTTCTTCTAGGTTTTCTAGCTTCATACAGAAGTACCTTTTACTTAAAAAAATTAAGAGGATTCCACTGTATATCTGAAAAGTATCCTTCTTTGCAGCATTTAATAGGATTATACTATTGATTCCATCTTTACAATGCTAGCTAGTAGTTGGTACTTGTGAACTGTAGACTATTATGTGGCTGAACACAAGGGAAGAAGGATTAGCCTGTGAAAGAATAAGAAGCTTTTCCTTAAACTCCCTTGAACCAAGCCTACATACTTACTAACTTGATAGCCTCTCTCAGTTAGTAAATGCCAACATTTCCCTTAAAAAAAGTCTGTCGGTATTGTGTTGACACACTTTAAAACTTAAGTATGTTCTTCAGAGAGCTATTTTAGAATCATGTGCACTTGAAGTGGGAAGCAATTGCAATGATGCTTGCTGAGTGGCATAAATTGCTGGAAAATACATTGCTTTAATTTATCACAACTGTCCACTGAAAGCAGAATCTCCACATAAAGGGAATAAATGATGGCTCAGGGTGAAACATAAATTACACAATTATATGAGAAGAGAGAAAGTACGGTGGTATCTTTGCAAGTTGCTCATACTGGGTTTGAGCTTTCGTAGGCAATAGCTGTCTTTGTCAGATGCATGAAACAGATTCCAAAGATCTATAATGAATGGTGCTCATGTTTTTATGGTTGCAGTGGAGGAGAAAGGGTGTTAAGCAGGTAATGAAAAATAACAAGGAAATTATACAGTGTGGGTGAATATTAGTGACAATGTTCAAATGGCTATTCATTTAATACCCTTTAATCCCTATTTTTGTCTTTCTGACTCTTTTGCCCCATTTTATTTGCACATCAGCCATGCAAGGCCAAGAGATGATGGTTGGCTCAAGGTCACTAGGTAAGCTTCTTGGAAGGACTGGGAATTGGGCTCGGCTCTTCCTAGTCCTAGGCTAACTCTAGCTGCTTATGGCAGATGGCAACTTAGTGTGATGGAGCTTACTCCTAGGTTACTATGCACTGAATGGCACTTATGTCACAAGGCTGGTAGGGGATATGAACCCAGGTGTCTCCAGCCAAACCAAACACCAGTGCCAGGGAACCTGTTGTTCTCTATATGATACTAATCTCCAACTTCTGTCAACCCTGGCTAGCATGGCTGATGATCAGGGATGATGGGGGTCCAATAACATCTGAAGAGACACAGATATCCATCCCCATTTAAACAAGCTGACCACAGAATAAATTGTTGGCAGCTCATTATTCTGTATCTATCAACCTATCCTAATAACTGGATATTATTCTATGTATGTGTAGGTTGACTGAAGTGTGTTTTGGTGGGGGTAGAATCTGTGTGGGCATTGAGTGAATAAAATCCTATTTTATGAATTTTGATGTTTCATCAGTTTTATTGTTTTGTGTGTATTGTATTATTATGTTTTGTTTATTCAGGGAGAGAGGAGTAAACACCTGCACTTTGAAATATATGTATACCTGATAATGTTTCATATTATAATCATAGCTGTAATAGTTCACATATCTGTATAATTAAAAATATGTTCCCATGTGGATCCTGTGAGATTTATACTGGTAATTACTGTTACACTCATGGGAATCATGTGTGCAAATGCTTTCTTCCTAGCTGATAAATGGATGCGAAACTAGTTTCCCCTGGCAAAAAACAATGGTTTCCACTTAATGACCTTTTTCATATAGAATCATAGAATTGTAGAGTTGGAAAGGATCCCGAGGATCATCTAGTCCAACACATGGCAATGCAGGATTTTCAACTAAAGCATCCATGGCAGATGGCCATCCAGCCTCCATGTAAAAACCTGCAATGAAGGAGAGTCCGCCACCTTCCAAGGGAGTCTGTTCTACTGTCAAACAACTCTTGCTGTCAGAAAGTCCTTCCTCACATTTTGTTGGAATCTCCTTTCCTGTAACTTGAAGCCATCGGTTCGGGTCACACACCCCAGAGCAGGAGAAAACAAGCTTGCTTCATTCTCCATTCTCCTTTAGATATTTGAAGATCAAAGCTCCTCTCAGTCTCTTTTCCAGGCTAAATCGTTTCTCATAAGGCTTGGTTTCCAGACCCTTGATAATCTTGGTTGCCTTCCTCTGCACACATTCCAGCTTGTCAATATTCTTAAATTGTGGTGCCTAGAAATAAAAACTGTACTCCAGATGTGGTCTGACCAAAGCAGACTAGAGTGGGACTGTTACTTCCCTTCATCTGGACACTATGCTTCTGTTAATGCTGCCTAGAAAAGCATTAGCTTTTTATGATGCTACTTCACCCTGTTGACTCATGTTAAGCTTATGGTCTACTATGACCCCTAGATTGGTCCATCTTGCCCAGTATTGTCTACACTGAGTGTTGTATGCAAGGATCACCTACCCCTACCGGGAGATGCTGTGGCTTGAACCTGGGGCCTTCTGCATGGAAAGCAGATGCTCCACCACTGAGTTATGGCCCTTTCCCAATATGTGACTTCACTGCCTGCTATAAAACATCTATTGCAACAAAGAGCCTGGGTATGAAGAGACTTCATATAGTCTATCTTTCCTACCCTCTTGTATGATTCTGGAAGTGCACATTAATCTATAAGCAGTGTTATTTCTTGAGGTTTTTTTTGTTTTTTTTAAAAAGCAGTCAGAAGATTTATAGCTGAAACAATAGCCGTAGAGGTTCAGCCCCATTGTATTTATTGACAATATTGTTCAGCTCATGGCATCCTTTGATTAACTACCATCAAAAGCATATTTTCTAACAAGACCTCTGTCACCGTTCTCTTTGTCACTGTATTTCATAAAGTTATACTGGGCCTTTAGGGAGGGCGAGTGCCAAAACATTCACTTAACAACAGGTGTGTGGACAAGTATTAAATGTGATGACTAATTGGCTGCCACTGGGGATTTATTTCTAAATCTCTTGACTTCTGCCCTTCTTTGTGTAATGATGAATGATGCTTTCCCCTTTACCTACCTGTTTGCTACTGAATGGGAGCTTTACGGCAGCATATCATAGAAATCACAAAGTGTCAGCCAAGTTGAAGAAAGAGAAAAGACTAGAGATTCAATTCTACCTTATAAAATTCGCCTGCTATTACCTAGGATGGTGGTCAACCTTTCCAGACCCTAGTAACAACCTCTACCTAGGTAACTATGAGATTTGATTTTAATTTTCTTTTGAAATGTATATATTCTTCATTCTCCAATTTGTGTTCCCTCTGTTTTTCAAGGGACATCTACCTAGCATATATACCGCTTCAACATTTCTGAGGTAATCATTGTAGTTTTTGGGGTACAGGCAGAAATCCCTAACAAAATCCAAAACATCCACACCAAACAAGTTCCAGGATTTTTCTTTAAGAAAAGTAATTCCGATTAAACAACAATAGAATTTTAATAGTATTGACATTCTTTCATTTTCTTTCCAGCTGCATTCACATGGCAGTTCATTCCATTTTCATAATAATTCCCTATCAATTTGCACATTATGGTTGAGCTTTACATGATGTTAAAGTCAGTGCTTTTTTTCTAAAAAAATGTTTAGGGGTACTCTCATTTTCCCACTCATATTGAAATACTGCCCCTCAATGAGGCCAAACTTACATTTACAAAATGTTTAGGGATACGCGTACCCCTGCGTACCCCCTGAAAAAAAAAAGCACGGGTTACAGCCACTTCCAGAACTACAGTGGAATATAGTGCAAGTTTAGCACTCATTTCCATGTTATTTGTGAATGGATTTTTTTCTGGAAGCAAGTAGCACAGAAGTGAGCACTAAACATGTGCTATAATCTGCTACATTTCTGTGTGAAAGCTCAAAGAAAATGTAGAAATTAACAGCTAGGAGGATGTCATGAAAACAGAATAAACTGCCTTGTGAATGGTGCCGCTGTCTCATCCCAGCATCCTATTCTGTCTTTCTGCTCATTCCACCCCCCCCCTAAAAATTGTTTATCATAATCACTATCATTCTTCTTGGATAGGACATCACTATTTTCATCGGACAAATGTTGGAGGGTATATTATCCTAGTATTAATGTCAAGGCAATAAGTTGCATATTTACTCAGATTTAGAAGCAAGTTCCAATGAAGCTTGCTGCCTAGTAAGTGCCTTCGGGGTTGCAATATTAGTGTGGGGGGTTTTGTGGGTGGAAGAGTGGCAAGTTTCTCTCTCTCTCTCTCTCTCTTACACACACCCACACCACATGTGGCTCCCAGTGATAATTAATTGAAACTTGTGAGCTTCTGTAGCCACTGCGTCCCTTCAGCCTTCCTAATTGTATGCAACTTTTGTTCTCCTGATTTTTTAATGAAGCTATTTCAGCTGTCACACTGATTAATCGATTACCACATTCAGGCCTAAAGTAAACAGATTACAGGAAGCAAATAGAGTCTCATTCCTCCTTTTCTAGTCACGCTACCTTACAAATGTCTGAATTCACCAGGGGAAAACAAACCGTTTAACAAGAATTTTCAAATTAAAAATGAATTCTCCCTGAGAGCACTTTATCTTTCTCCTCACTGGCACGGCCAAATCCCCCCGGAGTAGGGGAGAAAGGAAAAAAGGCCCTTTTGCCTTTTCAGAGAGCCCAGGAATTCGTATCTTAAAAATGACACTGCACAAAGAAATGGGGTTAAGAGATGAGCAGTGAAAATCAGTAGAGGCCAAGAGAGACTCCAATGTGAGCAAACAGTGAAGAGATTGAGAATGTTTATAGTTTAAAGAGGAGAAGAAGAAGGGGAGGAACGGAAAGAGGGGTCGGCATAGAGAAATGAAACATAATGAATCAAATATAGAAGGTAAATTGAGTGCTCCTGTTTACCTTATCTCTTAATAGGAGCACATGAAATAATTCAGAGGAACTGAAAGGCAGTAAATCTAGAAAGTAATAAAAAAGAAACATTTTTTTAAAATAGCATTACATATAATTATGCTCAAGTGCCAACTACCAAGAAATACCAAGGCCTGGAAGATTGTAGAAATGATTAGCTTTTTAAAATGAATAAAAAGGAGAAAGAATGAGCAATGAGGACAGGAATTCCTATGCTTCCAGAGAAGGCTCAAATAGAAGAAGAAGAAGAAGAAGAAGAAGAAGAAGAAGAAGAAGAAGAAGAAGAAGAAGAGTTTGGATTTGATATCCCGCCTTTCACTCCCTTTAAGGAGTCTCATAGCGGCTAACATTCTCCTTTCGCTTCCTCCCCCACAACAAACACTCTGTGAGGTGAGTGGGGCTGAGAGACTTCAAAGAAATATGACTGGCCCAAGGTCACCCAGCAGCTGCATGTGGATGAGCGGAGACGCGAACCCGGTTCCCCAGATTGCAAGACTACCGCTCTTAACCACTACACCACACTGGCTTAAATAGGATTTAAGCAGGTAGCAGGATGAGGTGGCAGAATCCTGAGATGAAAATGAAATGTGCCCCTTTAGATGGCAGGTGAGGGGTATCACATTTTTGAAACAGATACCTCCAGCCTACCAATCCAGTTTAATCTAAGAAGTCCCTGGCAAGTAGAAAAGAAGTGGCATAAATCTGAAGTGGTGTGGTTCAAACTCACTCCTCTTGCACATGTGTTTTTGCTTCTCTACCTTTCCTCTGTTTTTGCGAGGGTGGCTGCTTATGCACCACTCTTTCTTTTTGTTCTTCTCTACGTGGCAGGCATTTGTGTTAAGCCACATGCCCCACAGCAGCCATTTTGTGACTGGCACACCTGGGAGTTTCCCAAAGTTCCAAATGTGCCCACTGTCCCCAAAAGTTTCATAACTTCTGTGATCAAGGTTTTGCCTACTTTTAAAAATTTTGCACCAGAAATCTAAATTCTAGAGGGGGGAGAAAGCTAAATTCTGTTGCTTCTATACTGTATGCAAAGTAAGCAATTTCCCCACAATGTATCTTATTTGCACTGGGTAATTTATTCTGTATTTTCTAGTCATGAAGAAGGGGAATGTGTCTGTGCATGAACACATGGGAAAGAAATGATTCAGCTCGTTTGAGCCTTGTTTCCAACCACTAAAATCCTTATTGAGGCACCCTCCTCCACTGTTCCTTATGAACAGGCTTTCCCTAAACAACATAATCCACAATTCTGTTGCAGACCTCTCTTTCCTATTTTAACTACAACACATAGTGGGAGGGGGCAGAGCGAGTAGGATTTGTTTTGTTGGCTTGAGTTGAGTCATGTGTAATTGCATGAATTGTATATGCACGAAGCTATCTCTGCATGTCGAGCCAGGTAAAACAATTTAGCAACATTCTGCAATTATGTTCCACCCTCTCTAAAAGTAAAGTGAATGCTGAGTATATGTTTTGTTTTGGTTGATTTAAAATTTCTTAGCAGTTCCAGTGAATGCATTGTGACAATATGAAGTGGAAAACTGGTGTGGGGGAGGGCATCATTGATGCAAAGGAGAAAGAAGGTATGTTTTTTTTTAATTATGCCAAGGGGATAATTTTTTTTTTACTTGCACAAGGAAAACCATTTTCAGACAGAGTCAAACTTTCTTTCTTTCTTTCTTTCTTTCTTTCTTTCTTTCTTTCTTTCTTTCTTTCTTTCTCTCTCAAGGTCCAGTACATATTGAATGAACAGCGTATGTGATGTTTATTGCAGAAACTTTGTAGGGTGGCATGTAGTAGCTGTAGCTCTTTGCCATAGAAGCCCCTAATAAATGGGTACAATCAACTGACTTTGCTGTGACAAGGAAGGAGCCATCCTGATCTGAATGGAATGTGTTTTCAGGAAAGCACCAGAGAGGGAAAGAGGTCAATTCTGAAGAGGTGGGTTTTTTTGTTTTTTTACACAGGATCAGACCCTGAGATGCTCTAATCTTGTTTGACTCTGGAGACTGAATTCATTCTATAAAAATGTAGCAGGCATTTTTGGCAAAGAACTCATACTCTAGCGACCAGGAAACACCCGATTTCCGGGTACATAGTGGCTTGGAATCTCATTATTTGGGCAGCTGGACAATGTGCAGTTCCCAGCTGTTCCTTGTGTCAAAAGTGACTGATAAAAGCCTCAGTGGGGTTAATAATACAAAATGTCCACTCCCAAGTCTTAATATGTTCATAAATTGTAAATTACTCTTTGGGATGAGGAAGAATTGATCAGGATTGCTCAGTTATGCAAGAACCCCTTGATGTTGTTGTTGTTTAGTCATTTAGTCGTGTCCGACTCTTCATGACCCCATGGACCAGAGCACGCCAGGCACTCCTGTCTTCTACTGTCTCCCGCAGTTTGGTCAAACTCATGCTGGTAGCTTTGAGAACACTGTCCAACCATTTTGTCCTCTGTCGTCCCCTTCTCCCTGTGCCCTCCATCTTTCCCAACATCAGGGTCTTGTCCAGGGAGTCTTCTCTTCTCATGAGGTGGCCAAAGTATTGGAGCCTCAGCTTCAGGATCTGTCCTTCCAGTGAGCACTCAGGGCTGATTTCCTTCAGAATGGAGAGGTTTGATCTTCTTG